CCCCAAAACCCCAAAACCCCAAAACCCCAAAACCCCGAAATGAGACATATTATAACAAATAAGGATTTAAAAATATTTGAAAATGATATGATTCTGACAGGATTCTTTAATTTCTATGCTGCTCTAAGTCCCTTTTTTATCAATATAACTATATTTGATGGAATTTATAATAAAATTGAAATCTTAATCAAAATAAAATGATCTCAAATAAAACTATAATCTAAAGTAATAGAACAAAGCTGTAGATAATCTTAAATGCCACGAATTTCAACACTACTGATTCGAATGTAAAGCAATATAACCACTAAAATGTAAGTCTAACCAACTATTAAAAGCTTAATATAGAAAGCTACGTTTAGAAATGAAGCTGGGAAAAAATATGATACATTAAATGAGAGGAATAGTACAGGGGGTGAGAAATTCGGAATGAAAGGAGATGAAATCATTCTAAATAAGAGTTATAATCAAGATTCGGTATTCACAAGCAAACTTAATAATAGCTATGGTGTCAAGCGGCCATAGACTGGTAAGAAACCTAGACCAATTGAGGAACTTCAGAGATTTATAAGTAAAATATTGAAATTCTGATTTTTTTTAGAAAACTCCTAGCAAGTCATGATGTCAAAGATAAAAAGAGAGATAGAAGAAAGACAAACCCACAGCCCCGATAGAAGGAAAAGAAGATAGGCTCTATCTTAAAATAGAAAGACAACTACTGTCAAATCTCAGAGAATAAAAAACTATAAATATGATACAGTCTCAACTTTACATAATGAGTATACATCACCATCAGCTTTAAGAGAAAGCTACAATTTCAGTCTTGGAATAACAGATGGCCAACAATCTTTGGTAAACTTTAATTAAACTAATAGCTCAGTTTTGATAAAGGGTAATAAATCAGTAATTTTAGTCTTAAATTGATATAGATGTAAACTGTTCATCAGAAAGAGGAACAGCAGAAATTATATCTCGGAATCAGAAAAGAGCGAAACTTGCTTATAACAATCGTAACCCTAGCTAAACTGTATTGATTAACTAGTCAATAGCTAAGACTAGCACATCCCAGACCATTCAAAGAGGAAAATTGAAACGACCACAAAGTAACATGGGTAGAATTGAAGAAGTTGACAATGGCTAATTGAACATGAGTGGGGCATAGCATAAATTTATCAATCCCTATTCTTCATTTGAGGCTTCCCCTTCAATTCTTGCTAGTGCAAATATCAATAGCTCATTAACAACCATAAATAATACGAAGTTTAAGTCTAAAATTAACAATAATAGAGTGTCCTATGTAAATGGGAACATCAGTTCCAACAAAATTGACCTAATTTAATCACAAGCCAATCAGAGCTTTAACACTACATTTGTTGATAGAAGGACAAGGAATAGCTCTTATGGAGGCAACTCATAAATCCTAGATATTTTAAAGGAATCTTGCTATTCAACAAAGAAGAGTTCAGCTGTAGTTAAGATAGAGTAAGTGATTAGATTTGAATGAACATTTTTTAGTATGAGAAATACAGACAAAGTCTAATGTCTCAATGAAAATGAAATTCTCAGAATATTCTAGGCAAGAAATCTAGATCTAGGATTGAGTTTCTTTGATTAGCAATATTAAAGATTCAAGGATTATTGCTAGAAGACTTGCATTAATAGAAAGATCAAGCTCATGGATGTAATTAACTAATTTTCCTTATAATCTATATAGCTTGGAATGGGAGTCAATGCTGCCATAGAATTAAGCTAAATAATAGCAGTGAATTAAAACATTGTCCACCTAGACTTAAAGAAAAACTTGTTAGGAGATGAAGGTTGTAAAATACTAATTAAAGCTGTTTCTAAGAGCAAGAGTTTAGTGCATCTTGATCTCTCTTCAAACCAAATCACTCATAAGGGAGCTAAAAAGATTTTCACTCATTTAATTCCAAACAGCTCTCTTATCTCTCTGAAACTTGGCAGCATCGATGGAGTAAATAAGAACAAAGTCGGCTAGAAAGGCATTGTTCATCTAGTGAATTTACTCTAATTCTCTAAATTCCTGCAATTCCTTGATCTTAGGTGCAATATACTCTCAGATAACGGAATAATATCACTTTGTGATGCAATATTCTAAAACAAAACCTTAGTTAGTCTAAATCTAGCCAGCAATGAAATAACATCTTATGGCATGGATAGACTAAAAGACACTCTACTTAGTACTGAGATCAAAGAACTCGACCTTAGCGGCAATCCATTAGGCAACCAAGGAATTGAGTACCTTAGTCACTACATTCATAACAACAATTGCTATTTGGAAAGATTAAATGTCTCTGAGTGCAAGTTCTAATCGCCTGGATCAGTATTATTGTTCTAAGCAGTGAGAAAAAGTTCGATGATGAAACACCTAAGTTTGGACAAAAATGATATCAGATCAAGAAGTACTTCCTATCTTACAACTGGAATATATCATGGTCTTGTTTACCTTAGTATGAACAGGTGTAATTTAGGAGATGATGGAGGTATATCAGTGGCTGAGGGATTATCCAGAAGTAAGCAGTTAAAGTATATGTTCCTCCAATATAACTCACTCAGTGACGAAGCAGCTAAGACCTTTTCTGAGGCATTAATAAAGTCAAGTATCAATATTGAGCATTTGGATCTTTCTCATAATAAAATTAATGATGCTGGTGGGGAATTGATTGCTATGTCTATGTCACAAAATAAATCGCTTTCCAAGTTGAATCTTAAAAGGAATAACTTGAAGATAACCAGCGGGGCTATGTTTGCTAAATCTGTGAAATCTAATAAGTAAATCCAGTACTTAAATTTAGATGGAAATTCTGTTAACATAAATTTCATAGAAGAAATAGCAGAGATTCTACTTTAAAATATGATAAGAGCATCAAAGAATAAAATTCCATAGTATAAATCTGAAGTAGTCTAATTAAAACTTGACCATGAAAAAGGATTCTCAACTACCTAAAATGATATTTAGAATTGCAAAAAGAATAAGTTGACCATACTTGAGGATATTAAAAGAAAACAAAGTTAATACGAGGTTGTTCGAGAGGACGAAAAGTATAAAAATGATGAAATAGAAGAGGAGAAGAAGCTAGTTGATAAAAAGTATTAAGAGTTCCAGAATTATTACATTGATGAAGAGTAAAAGATAAAGGCTAAGCAAGAGGCGAAAGAATAAGAACTATAGCTTTTATAAAAATGGGTTACGAAGTAGCAGGACATCAATTACAATACTGTAGAAACTAGTAAGTTATTAGTAAAATCTTAAAAGTTACTATAGTCAAGGAAACAAAAATAGCTATATAAAGATTAAGGAAGGAGTAGTATGAGGAGAGGTTAAAGATGGAGCAAACTTTGATTCTTGAAGAAACTAGTGTAATAAAAGCAGAAAAGCAATATAATGCAGTCAAGATTGAGCATAGTAAGTACGCTCCATAATTAGAAAATAATGTGGTGGAAGAGCATTTATAAGCTGATGAAAGATTCGATACAGACACTAATAATGACACTACAAGTCATTTTGATCATCATTTTGAGACTAACAGTAAAAATGGAGGGGACAAGCATAGGAAATCAAAGTCAAAGACTGGCACTAGTGGAGTTAAGTAGAAGAAAAATAAATGAAATCTAATTATCAAAAATTATTATTAATTTCATAAATATTTACTATAGATATTAATTAAAGGGGTTTTGGGGTTTTGGGG